ACATCCTGCTCGAATATCGCATTCACAAGCATGGGAAAGCATTTCTGTAGCGGCAAAATGGTTCCAGAATGATATTGATTTTGAGGCTTTGGAGAGTGAAATGTTTTCGTTACAGCTATCATCATTGGTAACAGATGTCATTGAAAAGGCCGTATCTGAGAAGCGGAATCCCGAGTTTCTTGATTTGTTCAAGGCTTTACAGGCTGAACCCCAGTGTTATGCTTGTGTTAGCAAATTGATGAAAATTGCTTTAAAAATTCCAATCACTTCATGCAGTGCCGAAGGAGTGTTTTCGAAGTTGAAGATAGTCAAATCGCGACTGAGATCTGCTATGAATCAAAACAAGCTTGAAAACCTTATTCACATGTCGGTGGAAGTGGATTTGTTGGAGAATCTTGATTTGGACAGCCTAGTTCAGAAGTTTACTGATTGTGCTCCCAGAAGAATGAATTTGGTTTAGACTTCCTGGCAAAGGCTGTTTAGACGAAACATTTTATGAATTTTATATTCTTTAACGACCATTGTTTCATATTGACTTATTTACTTGTCTAGACTTTTTTAACTTACTATTAACAATAGAGGTATACAGTTTTTAAACCGTATGCCTCCAGAAATTAGAAAAAGCTTGTGTTTACGTTTAGCTGTTGCTGACATGCAAAGTTGATGTAGACTTCTCTGCATATTTATCTGCATATTTTTTACAGTAATGATCCCATGAAAAAAACTTGTTTTCTCAGGCAAATTATTAATTCAATAAGTGAGTGTTAAAATTTACAATTTATCGCCCAATCACCTACATTTCCCATATAAGGCAGGTAAGGATACGCAAATTACAAAATTAATAAAATAATCGTTTCCATTAACTTGATATGGATGGTCTCGTAAATTTTCTTGCTTAAACCTCCAGAATGGCGGAATCCAGAATTTCAAAACCCTAGAATTTTAAATTTCCCTGGCGGGGATGTCGCAGATCGAGTTACATAAAGTTATGAGATCTCCCAGATCGAGTTACATATAGATCGAGTTACATATCGAGTTACATATATGAGATCTCCCAGATCGAGTTACATATAGTTATGCGCTAAATGAACTGTCCATGAAAACGTTTTTTTAAATCGAATCCTTGGTTAAGGTTGGCTGACCCAAATAAATTTTTGAACTTAAATATACAGAGAAGAGAAATATTGAAGAATTTTTGGAAAATCAAAAGTATAAACCGATGAAAAAAGCAAATATGGCTTCGTCCATCGCCACGTGTAATGTTGATCTGAATTTTACACGCTACAAATATGAAGAATTTAAAAACACAAAAGCACGAACTGTTCCTTACGAAGATATCGATTACACCATATACAAACCATCTGCTAATTGCGTGGCTTTTCTAACCAGCAAAGATCGGATCATTCACTGGATAAAAATATTTTATTATCGCTACTGCGGCGAAATAAACAATCAAGATGGCGAACGGCAATTATTTAAATCAACTTGGGAAGAACAACTCGCCCAAAACGACTCATCGAAATGCGAAAAAATCACACTAACTCTGTCCCTCTAAGGCAAAAAAACGGATGAAAATCTTATTACCATAATTATTTACTGTAGTACTGGTAGAATCCAGATACAAGGACGTTCTATGCGTGCGTGGGGCGATAATGATTTCCTTACAATCAAGAAGCTGGTAGACCTAGACATCGATGAAATATCCTCCAATACAGCATGTAAAAACCTTCAAACCTTCATCGAGAATATTACACAGACTCCAGCTAAAGAAACAAGACTGGATGAAGTC